CCGCCACCGGATTTTCACGGCATTACTTCGCTTGGGTAGCCGTTGCTGAGGCATATCCGAGACAATTTGTCCAATTCTTCATCCCACAATTCCATGTCTTCTGATTATCATGCTCCTCAGTATGCCTGTCTTCATTCTGTAGTTGTGATGACCCCCGAAATTGAGTATTATTCCGGCATATTACTTCTTTCGGAACAATCACCTGTTGAGTGTGTCTATAGACTAAATGACTTCATCATCCAGGATAAGAAAACGCTCCTTCTGTACTTGCATTGTAAACTTGATTCCTCCATCAAGCCGGCTTATACACTTTTGTAAATCGAGCTGACCTATTCGACAAAGATTGGTAGAAAACAAAAATGCTTGCAAAAATAGCTGCATCCAACGGTCAGAAGTGGCCGAACACATGTTAGAAACTCGACATGAAATAAAATGGTCTCAAACTAGTAGGTTTGCTGATTACGGTACGTCTGTGTTTTAAAGTAAGATGAGAGAGGCTATTGAAATTAATAGCTTAAGAAATACGTTGAATGTGAGGAACGGAGGTAGAAAGTTGAGTAGGAATTACTTATACTTAATAGATTGAGCCACAGTCAAAAAGAAGGCGACTCAATTTGTCTGCTCGGTGATGGTTCTAACTTCACTCACACTCGCCCATCATGTGAGTTCCTTGGAGGGTTAAACGTTAATGACCCTAGACCAAGATGTTAGAACAAGTGGTTTCGTAACTTGACTTACATGCTTACAAGCTCATATCTCATTAGCCCAATCATACTTGCTTACCGACTTACGCAGTCTCGGTCAGGGCTTTCTTTGAGTTCATTAGGCGTTGATGATCAGAGCCTAATTTTCAGAGTTATCAAACTCTGACTTAGAACCGCTATTGCATATAGACGCTAACACACACACGCATAGACTCGAGCAAAAGTAGCAGTACAAGTATGAAAGATAATTAGCCAAACCACTCTATATCTATCTAGGTTCTATATTTATTTATTTTTAATTTTTAATTTTCTTTTCTCTTAACTGAGTCTATATAAGAGATTAGATAAATCCTGATAGTCTTGGCCTAATGTAAACGAAAGCCTTTTGCAAGAATGACACCCAGCTCGGATGATGTCCATCGAATGATGGACGCAAGCTCAGCACATTTTGACTTGAAACGAGGAGTTCCCGTGGACTGGGTCAACATGAATATGGTCTAAAGGCCAAACGGCTGAAGTACAACATGTTTAATCCGTCGTTATCTGGTGAGATCGGCCAATCAACCTCTTCTTCATGCACTTTCATATAAAAATAAAAATATCCCTAACAAGAAAAGACTAGTTGCGTTTCCTCCTTTTTGCAGGCGACTCAATTACCTCTCTTACCTTCATTCTATTAACTAAGCACAAGTAATTTTTACTTATCTTCTTGCCGGTATTCCTTACATTCAATGTATTTCCTATTCTGTTTATTTCGATGGCAGCTCTAATTTTACGTTTAGCCGCAACCATAACATAATCAGCAAAACGACAAGTTTGAGACCATTCAATCTCGTGTCCCGTTTCTGGCTTGTGCTCTGCCACCCTTTGTCGAATGTGACGACAAGTCTCACCAACATAAAAGCGACCACATGAAAAACATTATCTTGTAGCAACACGATCTGGATAAAGGTTCAACCTTATTTCAAAAAGTAGGCATAACTGAAAAAGGTGTCGTAGTTTCCCTGAAGACCGCTTTTATTCCCCACTTCCTTACTTGTTCACCTCTCCTTTTAGAGGGAATGCACGAAGGTAAGGACAAAACATGAGAAAAGGTCTCCTTATCTCTCCTTACATATTCACCATTCAAAAAGCTATTCTTTTTTAATCTAATGTTATTCTCAAGAAATATTATTTTAAGCCGATTTAGTTCATTGTCACAATGTTCTACATCAGCTAGTCTTATGCTCCAAATAATCATAGATTTTAAAACTCCAACCTTTGTTTTGTAACTGTGATTGGAGAAGAAGTTAAATATAAAGCAAGTATGTGTTGGCTTTCTATGGCAATCCCAACTTAACTTCTCACCTTCTCTGATCACTAAGACATCTAAAAAGGTTAACTTATTGTTCATCTCCATCCCCATTGTCAACTTAACATTGAAGTCAATCTGGTTAATTAAAAACAATAAATTATCTAAACTATCCTTGCTATGTTGCCATATCGCAAAGTAGTCATCCAAGCATCTAACTGACAGTTTGGGTGTCAATCTTACCTCTTCCATGAAGTGTTCCTCCATACTTGACATGTAATTATTATTCGTATTTGAGTAGAGTTTCGAGACTACCAGTAAATCAGTAATATGAGATGTATTCACCCAATTTCGTTTAAGGTGATGAAGGACTGGTACTATAATTTTCTCACATTGATATGAGTAGAGCTGACATTTCCATTGAATTTCACATAGCCTTGCTTTCCCAAAAGTTGCCATTATTAGCCAAAATGGGAGCCAAGCAAGATCCCATTGCTAAGCCTTGTACCTGTTCATAAACTTTATCATTAAAGGTAAAGTATGTGCTGCTCATGGATAGATTAAGAAGCCTTAAGATTGAGCTTTTGCTCAGATTTGCCTTGCAAATAATTGCTGGGTGCCCATCTAGGCTGAGTGTAGGTGCTTTAATGGCTTTATGAATTGAGATGTTAGTATAAATTGATACCAAATCAAGGCTAACAAAAAGATCCCCCTCTTTAATACTTTGTTGATCTATTAATCTAGCAAATTCACATGAATTCGTCATTGAATATTTCCAATGGTCAGCCAATTTCCTCAGTCGTCTAAGATCCTATGCATCACAGTTCCCTTGTTATTAATAATCAATCTTAAAGTAACTGCATTATGTGAAATACTACAAAGCCAACACATGCTGGCTTTATACTTAACTTCTTCTCCAAGCATAGTTACAAAATACAGTCTGGAGTTTTAAAATCTATGATTATTCGGAGCATAGGACTAGCCGATAGAGACCATTGTGACAATGAACTAAATGAGAATAACTATCCCCTAGGCTTGATTGAAAATAACATTAGATTAATAAATAATAGCTTGTTGAATGGTGAATATGTAAGGAGAGATAAGGAGACCTTTTCGCATGTTTCGTCTTCACGTTCGTGCATACTCTCCAAAAGGAGAGGTGAACAAGTAAGGAAAGGGGAATAAAAACGGTCTTCAGGGAAACTACGACACTTTCTTCAATTATGCCCACTTTTAGAGAGAAAGTTGACTCATTATGCAGATCGGGTTGCTACAAGATAATGTTTTTCATGTAGTCGCTTTTATGTTGGTGAGACTTGTCGTCCCATTCGACAAAGAGTGGCTGAACACAAAAGCGCCTGCAAAGGTTGTTGGGTTCAAA